TCAGTACAACACAATTTCAGACAGAAACACTATGCATATATATAGGACACAAACACAAGGAACTGCACCAATGAATACATAGACTGCTTTCTGTTAATGGCTGGAGAGGACTCAGTCCAAAGGCTCAGGATCGGTCCATTTCTTAGAACTCAGATTCCTAGATTGTACATGAAACTGCACACTGAATTAGACACAGTTGCTCATTACTATTGTTAGAAGTTATATATTTGATGTGAACTCTAAAAATAAGGAAATCCAGAACTCTAACCATTTGCCCAGGTTTTCTGTGATCACTGGCAACATATGATGTTCTAACACAGTGTACTTTAACAGTGCCTTGAAAAGAAAATTCAGTCTTGATGTTCCTATTCATAATGGCAGCTGGTTATACTTTAGCTTGAAACACAGCTTGTTTTTGTTATTCACCACTAACTTTGAGGACGAAGACAGCATCTTTCATACACTTACAATTGGTTGAAAATTAAATTCCTTGTTTTAAGACATCAAAAATATTGAATAACTTATATCAGTGTCTGACAAGGTAAGGCAATGGATGAAGGATACAATTCTACTTTTAAAATTACACATCCCCCAAAAAATAAAAAAATTAAAAAGCAATGACAAACTCATCTCTCAGAGACTGTTAATATTCCACAGCATGAGAGAGAAAATAAAAGAATTTTTAAATAGTGTATAACTATACAGAGAACAATCCATCCAGGGGGAAAAAAAACCCAAGCAACCCCAACAAACCAAAACACACAACAAAAAAAATCCCAACTTTTAACACTGATATTGGCAACCTCTCAGCTGGTCCTTCATAACTTTGGATTCAGGAAATCAGAGGTATTAAGTGAAATGCAGCAATCCAAAAGCAGCATCAAGGTACTAGGAGCATGAGCAGACTTGTCTGAAGATATCAAAAAGATTCAATCCCAGAACTGTATGCAGCCAGTGGCAAGGAAAAGGGAGTTTACAACTTTCAATATAAGTTTCAAGCCCACTCATCTATTTGCTTTCTCCAATTGTTATTCCTCCTATTCTGCAATAAATAGTCCCTCAACCCTGACCTCAAGCATAGGTTTTGAACTTCTGAAAGTGTGTGACAGTCACCCTCACCAAGCCTTGCTGTACATTGGAGTATACCTTGTGAGGTATGGAAGGCACATAGAAAATGTGGTCTAGGCTCAGCCAGCCTAAAACATACCCATGCCCTAAGGGCTGGCTATTGCCTTTCAGAAGTGCCAGTAGAAAGACTAGTAGAAAGACAGAAATTTAGGTATAGCTTTGGCTTGTTATTCCATTAAGAAGAAAAATTAAAGACCATGAAGTAATAAATTCTGCTCTTACTGCAGTAAAACATACACAAAGTAAGCAACCCTCAAAATATGAATCTGACTGGATGACTCAGACATTATTTATACTTTTCTTATGATTAACTTCTTGCTGGCAACATCACCATATAAAATAAGACACCATTCAACACTTTCAAGGCAACACCATTGTAGACCCTAAAATTAAGCATCATAAATTTAGTTATCCTCAAAATAATTACACTGAAGTTTCATTGGCACTTTGGACAAGTCTGTGATGTTATAACTTCAGCTTAAAATAGTGACTGATTTAAACTAAACATTTGTTTAACATTTTGTCATGCAACATGGATTTAATAGTAGTTTAGAACTGTAATCTTGGTGTTTTTCATTAGTCTGTAGCTTTTCATTGTCATTTATCTAAACTATGTAAGTATTAAGTCTGTGGGACTACGACCAGTACACCAAGGTCCAATCCATTAGAAAAAAGGAGTCTCTTTATTAAGAAGTTCTTTGAAACGTGTAGTAATTTCCAAATATTCCTCAGGAATGTAATTTTTTTTCAGTACCATGAATTTCAATAGAACTACTTGTAAATATGGTATGACAGTAGAAGTGCCCAAGAACCTCAAGAGTAATTACAGTAATAAACCTTTGTAACAAGGACAGTTACAAGCAATTTTGTTTTGACAAATTATATTAAACCAGTCTTAATTCTTTTTACAGCAAAGTGGCAGCTCTTGGACGATCACAGAATCACAGAGCAGTTGAGGTTGGAAGGAACCTCCAGAGGTCTTCTGGTCCAACCCCCAAAGATGGGCAAGAGCAGTAGATGCTATGTATCTAGATGCTGGTCAAATTTTTGATTTTTATATCATATGCAAAATTCATTGGAATAGTATAAAATTAACTGGAAAAACACATGAAAATAAATACCAATAGCTTTCTATGAAACTAGATGTGCTTGTTAACTGGGTGTACTTTATACTTACCTGCTATTTTCACTTGTGATTCCAAAAGTGGAATAAAGAGTACATTTATGAAATATGAATCAAGTTGCAAGAACACTGGAACAGGGATTAAAAAAATCAAATTAATCATGACAAATTGAAAAAGTTATCTGAACAAATCAGAACACAATTTGATACCAACAAAGGTGGTCACATACGAAGGAACAGTCAGCTCTGTGAATACAGATAGCCATTTAGTAGGAAAGTCTTTGCAAACTTCGGGGATTACAGGTAGGGTATGAACCCGGAGCACAATGTACATACAAGACATCTGTTCCTTTTAAGCAGTATGGGCAAGCTTAAACCAGAATACCATCCCCATTTTGGGCATCATGCTTG